GCGGGACGTGCCGGCCAAGTATAGGAGCAGAACTGCCTGGCACACAGAGACGCTGGCTGGTAGGGGGGCCCCCCGATCCCCCCCCCCCCCCCCCCTCCACTCTCGCTGCACCCCTCTGCTCGCTCTTTCCAATAAGCGATTGCAATCTCCAGAGGTAAAATGGGTCTCGCGAGGGGGCCAGAGCACACTTCATTTAGAAACCCACACACTGCGCGGCCCTCCGTTATTACTGCACAGAGTATCATCTCAGTACAGTACAAAATTGATACATAGAATCTCGCCCAGGTGCACCAAATGGAGCTCCGATAGGGGCTCTGATAAAGCACCGACTCCACAATTTGTCTGAGAGGGGGGAGTCCAGCCTCTCCAGCGCCGTGCACTTGATTGGATGAAGCCCTGGAAGCGCGCTGGCTAACAAATGAAATAAAAACAAAGGCACGCCGAGCCCAGGCGCTGGGAGCATCTCGCCGGCTCCCGCCCGCTCCTGCAAAATCAGCGTTCTCGCGCCGGAAAGAGGGCCGCGGCCGGAGACGCCAGCCTCCTCGCGGGGGGGGAAACGACATCAATCACGCGCGCGCACGCGCGCACAGAGCGGAGAGCGGCAGACTTCGCCCCGGCGCCTCGACTGTTTGGCAACACACCCCGAGCCGAGAGAACGCACAGCTTCCGACCAATTCCTCTCCGCCAGGTAATGGTTTTCGCTCAAATTCAACCGAGACGCTGAAAAACAAAACTTGGCTTTCCAAATAAATCAATTACACTCACTGAAAGAGCTATCCAAGGGAAGCAACAATTTCAAAAGGCTCATTCAGCTCGACAGGCCCTCTTCAAGGCCCTAGAAACTTAAGGATATATTGCTCGTTTATACTTCCCATGCTTGCAATCATAATTGAACAAGCACATTTCAATCAGAAGGCTTTAAAATGGAACACGCACATTTAGCTTTCCTGGTTTATGAGATTTTTCCTGGGCTATCAAAACCACGCTGTACGTACTGCAGAGAGGTTTCCTGCTCAGTACCAGGACCACTGACCCACACAGACCAGGGGACCGGACAGCAACCCCCCTCTTCCCCCCCAGAACCAGCAGACAAAAAACCTTTTTGATATTTATTGCACTAAAGATAAAGCCAGGAGAGTTTAGGCAGCTCACTGGGCTTCGGACAATGGTTAGAGCCGTCTTGTTCTCCTGCCCTGCTCAGGGATTACAGAAAGCTATGGAGTGGCTTTAACCTGGCTGTGACCCTCCTGCGACATGACTCCTCGCTCAGCTCAGGGACAGCCTCAGACCCGTCACTGAGCCTTTGCATAAAAGCCAGTGGAAACGCATGGGAGTTCTGTACTTTCATGGTCTTGCAATACTTTAGTCACCCATTTTGTCTGGAAGACATTGGCGCTGTAATTGTCCACACCTCACTGCGACACTACCACATTCTCCGTGTGGGGAGTTTTAAGCGGAGCCTGCCGTTCCACATTCCGAGAACGTTGCCGTCAAGATCTTAGGCTCCCCCCCCCTATAAGGAAAATACAATTGTTTTGATGACTCTGGAACTGAGCTGTCCCTTGCCGTGTTTGGCGTTGCTTGCGACAGCTTTGGACTCCTTTGTCTTCTCACTTCTTCTCCTAATTTCTGCCCATCCCTCTCCGAGATCCTGCGGTACTTCTCAAGAGAGGGTCGAGTTGACCAGTGAGAATCTGGGTCCGTCTCCTCACCCGCAGAAAGGCCTGAATGGAGTATTGGGCCCGGGAGGTCAGTCAGAACCGAGCCTGGGCCTCGGCACCAGCCAGCTGCAGCTCAGTGCACTTGCGACCCCCCCTGCAGTCCAGGTAAGGCTCCGGCGCCGAGCTCGTGCCAAGGACCGAGACAGCGGAAAGCTTTGGCAAAAGGCTTTTGTTTCGGAGCAGCACAGTAAGGACTATCCATCTGGACTGCTCTCTCCCAAGACCGGGGGAGTCCGCTTGGATTCACCAGTGACGCGTAGGGCACCCCTGAAATCACTCCAGCACCCCAGCGCTGACAGGGTTAATCACCGCTAACGTTTCCTACTCCAGGCCAGGCTCGGAACCGGTCGGGCGCTCATTTGTC